AAAATGGCAACAGTTGCACATAAAAAAAACGGAGGTAGTACATGCTTTCGAATGATCCGACTTTAATAAATCATAATTTATTCAAACCACTCATGAATAGAAATTCTCATATTAAAACGTATCAATTTCCGCAATCGACATCTTCCAAAGATAGTTCCGAATAAAATGGGTTCAATCCTCATTTTCGTAAATCATTTTTCCACCTAAGTGTGCAAACCCCCCAAATTAGTAACTCCTTTACATAGAAGTGCTATCAAGAGGAAATATTAGGTCATACATAGCCCATAGTCTTCAATTTTATCTCCGCATAGTGGTAGTCAAAATCCAAAGATCCAGTAAATAAATCCGATAGATAAACTTTCCAATATCTCATACTCGGGATAATTTAAACCATAAAACTTCCTTTTTTAAACATCTTGAATATCAATACAAGTTTATAGTCAACCATATAAAATATTTAAACATTTAAGATCAAACAATTAAAACATGCTTCACCGAAATATATTTCATAATCATTCAAACATGGTTCGAAATCACTTAACTTGTAAATCACGTTGCATATAAAAGTTACTTTATAAGAGATCTAGCCACGTGTACGTACCTTGATTTTTGCATACAAGTACGGAACTCCTACTTACGAACTCCAAATTCCTCCTACAATAATCAATAACTCTTATTCAAGAACTCTCCAACATTAAACTCAAGGACGTAAAATACCGACTTTAACTGGTTGTGCTTGAACAATTTATTATTTTAATCCTTTTATAAATTTAATATTTGCTTTTATAAACTAATCTTTAATAATTCAATAATAATAATAATAATAATAATAATAATAATAATAATAATAAGAAGAAGAAGAAGAAGAAGAAGAAGAGTATGTAGTACGTAATAGTAGTAGTAGTAGTAGCAGCAACATGACAAAGTTTTATGGTTGTAGTAATGGTGATTGTAATAATAACAATAGTAGTAGGAGTTGGAGTGGCGTAATAGTAATAGTAGTAGTAGTAGTCTAGTAGTATATATATGGTAGTAGCAACAAATAAAAAACGGAAAGCTTAAGAAGGGTTTTTATTTATTTATTTATTTATTTTTATTTTTTTGTAGGGACTTATGGCAGCAACAAGGGAGGAGGGACCACCTTAGGTGGTCGATAGCTGATGGCAGTTGCCAGTTGGTGGCGGTAGCTGGGTGGCGGTGTCATGGTGGCTCACGGCCAAAGGTAAAAAGAAAGAAAGGAGAAGATGAAGAGGAAAGAAAAAAGGGGAAGATAGTTTGGAGGAAGGAAGATGGAGTAAGAATGTCTTACTTCCATGGATATTTATAGCCTCCTAATGACACTATTTTGACCATCCTTATTAATGTAGGAAGTATACTTTTGACTATGGAAGAAGAAGATTGGTGGTGGTTGGGTAGTAGTATTGAACCTTGACTTTGACTTTGAATTTGAATATGGAGGAAGAAGATGGGTGGTAGTTGATTAATTTGACTCGAAAATAAGTATTTGACTCGGAATTTCGAGCATAGTATTAAAGGTTAAAAATCCGATTTTTGGTTACGACAAATTTAACTTGACTCATATCATAATTAAAACCCTTATAAAGCATAATTATAAAATTATCTTTGTAAAATCATATTTTGACTATAATAAATATTTTTGTATAATAATAAAATAATTCGAAAAAATCCATAGTTAATAATTAGTAAGCGGCTTAAAAATACGCGGTATTAAATTTATTTTGTTGGCTTATATGTTTCATTTTTTTGGCTGATATGTTTATTTTGTTAGCTTACATTTTGCTTGTGTTTGTTGATTTCATCTTTTTGTTGGCTGATATGCTTCATTTGTTGGCTGATATGTATCTTTTTTTGGATGATATGTTCCTTTTGTTGGTTGATATGATTTTATTAATGTTTGATATGTTCCTAATGTAGGCTGATATCAGACAACAGTTAGCTAATATATTCCTTTTATTGGCTGATAATTGTTTTGTTGGCTGATCCACATAATTAACCATTTCATCCAACAAATTAATTATATTATACAAGAACATAAAAAAAAAAAAATTGTCATTGATCTTTCCTCTTTACAGTCTACTAAATGCTTTCCCTTCCACCACTCTCCACTACTACTTTCTCCACCACCATCTTTCCAAGCTTAACCACTTTCTCTCTCCTCACCCTCATCTTTCCAAGCATACCACTTTGATCATCTTTACTGTGAATAATAGAGGACATATTTAGTAATTAATCCTCTCCATTAATTACATATCTCATTTCCATTTTCTCTCTCTTCTTTCACTAGTCAATAATGCTTTCATTCTACGGTTTTACTCCAGAGATGCTCACCATTTGCACCACATCACGTCATCGTCTTCATCGTCATCGGAGTCGTTGTTCGTCACAATACCTTCTCCGCCACACGAAACATTGAGTGCGGATTTCCGCATCCAATAGTTTGTGTTTCGTATTTTCTTATTTTTTATAAGTATTTGCAAAAATGTTTTATTGATTTTCACATGGAAAGATTACGTTATATTAAATCTATGAAATATTTGGAATAGTATTTAACTTAAATGTATACATATTAGTAATGTAGGAAAGAAAATATTATAGTGAATTAAAATCTCCTAAGTTAATTTGGCGGGAAAAATTTTAACCAGAAATTGACACGTGACATTTTTTATTCGCCTATAGTATATAATTATTGATACGGGCACACCCTGGTTTATTTTAATGATAAAAGAATTTTGTTTCTCTGATCTATAATGGAATGTTTGTAAATAAGTAGTGTTGAGAATCGTGTCTGAGATTAAAATATGAGATTTTTTTTCTTTTTTTTGTTTAATGGGATCAAATAAACATTGGTGAATTAACGTCATTGACAGAGCTAATTTGACTGTATTAACTTGGAGCTCAAGCTTACATCTTCTTCAACCCCACCCACCTTCCACCAACGCCATTATTTCGGTGTTAACTCCGTTGAATGAGCTCGAACTTTCATCTTCTTCATCCCCACCCAACTTCCACCAACACCACCATTTCCGACACCATCTTCTTCGTCTCCACCGACAACACCACCATTTTTAGCGAGTTCGCCGCCAACTTAAACAAAAAACTGTATGAAAAATGATGAAATTGAGGGCATGGTTAACCCCAAAGGATAGAGGTGAGTTAACTAGAAGGTAAAAAACATATTGTATTACTCTTCCATCTCAATTCACTTACCTCAAAGAATATACAAGTTTGGCAAAATATGTGAATAAATCAACTACTTTTTGTCATATATAGATCCCACAGTTTTTGATTTATTTACCGAAGTGCCATGCTGACTAGACAAAATGGCAAAAGTGTAAATTAATCAACAACTTTTCATCATATATGGGTCCCACAGTTTTTGAATTATTTACCAAAATGTCATGTTGACTAGACAAAATTATTGATTTATTTACGATTTTGCCACTTGATAAACAAGGAGATAAATTGAGGCTTCCTCTTTACCTCATAGCCCATTTGGATATCTTCGTATGCAAGTAAAAAGTAAACAACAAATTGCCAAATTGGTAGATGTATAGTATTTTGGAAATTTTGTATTTTACCACCCACACATAACCCACTTTTTGAAATTAACACAAAAAAAAAGTAATTAAATCTAACTTTAAAAAAAAATTCTTCGATTTTGGTGCCAAAAACATTCTATTTAGAGGTTTTTGGGGTCATTTTTCTTCAAAGGGACCGATTTGGGGTCAAAATTGACAAATAATAAACGAAAATGCCTCATATTGTGTTTGTCACGCATCGAGGTATCTTTTAGTACGCAAAACGAAGCTTTTCCAATCATTTTTTGAAAATTTTGACTTCATATCAGTTCCAAAGGCCTAAAATGACCCCCAAAACATCTAAAAATCGAGCATGTTTTTGGCTCGAAAATCAAATAATTTTTTTTAAAACGTTAAACTTAAGGAAATTTTGTATTTTACCACCCATTAAATACACACATTTTGAAATTACCACCCAAACAAAATTTTATTTTAAATTACCACCCATTAAATTAAAAAACTAATTAAATCACCACCTTCCGATTGTGGGCCCCACATTTTATTTTATTTTATTTATTTCCCTCCTTTTTTTCTTCTATTCTCTCGATTTCCCTCTCTTACTATTCTACTCTACTCTACTCTACTCTTCCTCCATTAAATTTCTTCCTCTTTAATCATAAATTCACCGTCAAATCATCAACTTCCCCACCATTAATGAAAGTAAACCCTAATTTTATTGCACTTTTGCAACATCATAAATACAGTGAACTTGCAATTTCTGGAAAAGGGGAAAGAGGAAGGAACCCTAATTTCATAACAACCCCCAATTTAATTGAAGCAGGGACCCTAATTTCATAAAAAAAACACCCAATTTAATTGAAGTAGGAACCCTAATTTCAGAAAACCCCCAATTCAATTGAAGCAAGAACCTTAATTTCAGAAAATCCCCAATTTAATCATGCGAAAAAGCCTAATTTCACAAAGAACTGAGCTTACCTGAATGTGAAAGGAGCGTTTGCACTTGTATGGGAGAATTCTTCAAATAAACCCTTGTAAAATTTGTGAGAATTTAAATGAAATTGATGTTGAAATTGGGGAGGAGAGTTTGCAGAGTAGTTTTATACAACAAGTCGAGAAAAAATTGAAATAATGTCAAACTAGCCGTTTTGTGGGCCCCACTGCCGAAAAAATGTCCGGAAGGAGGAAAAAGGTGGTGATTTAAATATTTTTTTTAATTAAACGAGTGGTAATTTCAAAATACGTGTATTTAATGGGTGGTAAAATACAAATTTTTTTTAAACTTAAATTGTTTTTTTAATGGAAAGTGGTAAAATCTAATTATTTTTTATCTTTTTATGGATGGTAATTTAAAATTAACTTTTTTTGGGTGATAATTTCAAAAAGTGGGTTATTTGTGGGTGACAAAATACCAATTTTCCTAGTATTTTATTCATGAGAAAATGTAAAAATAAATAACTTTTTATTAACAAAATGAGACAAATAAATTGAAACAGATGTAGTAATAATAAAGTTTAGGAAAAGAGCCCCCAAGGCCCCAACCCCCATTTGTCCATTTTTGTTAAAATCCAGACAGAAAAGAAGAGAAAGAGGCCCAAGGAAGCTCAGTACTCAGTAAATGGAGTAACAATGTTGTGCTTACATTGAACAATTTAGCAAGTGCCAAAATTTTACATGGAAAATGAACAGTGAATGAACCGATGATGAAAATTCACAGGACAACAGTATGCTAGTATTGCTATGCATATTGCCTGTTTACATTAAAGGCCGCCATATGACTCCTTTCTATGGGTGTTTAGCAGACTCGCCCATTATACTATTTTAGTTCCTTCAGCCAGGGAGAGAATGCTCAAAAGGCAGATATAAACTTCTGAATTTTTGATTGCGCCCGTTCTTTCTCCTCTGGTCCGTCAAGGTCTCCAATGTTGTCATGATATTCCTGATGTCAAGGCAGATGAAATGATAATTTTAATGATAAAAAGGATCTTTTACAAAGCTAAAAGCAAAGAGGAATATTAACAAAACAAATGTTAACCAAAAGGACAGGTAAATCAATGACAGTATTGCCAGTGTAGGTAACGTGGCAGTTCACTTAAGTGGAAGAAAGAGAGGCAGAGGAAGAGGGGGGGGGGGGGGGAGCAAAGTTTTCTGATCATTCTTGGAAATTTTAAGAAAGAAAGAGAGTTTAGTCCCCTCTCAGTCTCTCTATCTTTGGTTGTACTTTTATAAAGTACGAAGTAACAAATACGGAGTACAAAGTATGTTGCAGTGGTTTATTAGAGAACAGTTTTGGAGATACAACCTTATTAAACTGAACTGTTTAACTAGCCTGTTTGAACAAATTAAATAAAAATTGTAATTAGACAAATCCAGAAAGCTAAAAAGATAAAAGTATTTACCTGAAGTATATCCTTCACATCATTTTTCGTGAGCTTATGCTGCTTAAGTAAAAGTTCAATTCTTCCTCTTATCCGTGAGTTCCTGTATAGAGTAAACAGTCAACAAAAGAGGTCCCAAACTTGGGATATACTCTACTAAAGTAACAAAGGCTACTACAAGGAGTCGAGGACTTACTCAGAGGTCCACAGATGACCCAATATAACAGCAATCAGCTGCAAGCAAGGCGTAGAGAAGAGCATCAGTAACAAAAAAGAAAGTATGTTAAAAATAATATCCACAAGGACCACAACTGATGCCATGTAACAATAAACCCAACCCAGTAAGAAACATTAGTTGATAAAGCAGATCAACCTCCTGACAAGATCGAACTTTACAGGTAATGACACCAATCAAATCTAAAGTGAATGCATAAGGGAAAATTTTCTAATATCATACTATAGGACATGCTGATGCTGACCCAATTACCCACCCAACTACTTTTTGCTACCTACGTTTACACTCTCCTTCCTGCAAAAACTAAATAATATCACATGCAGAAAGGTCACCCTGTAGCCTGCATTAGGATCATCAACAAAGCTTTATCCTCAAATAAAACCCTTATTCTACCTATGAGGAAAAATTAACTGGGTTTTGTTATTGTTGCGGTGTAGAGGTCTCAAGTGGTTGGCAAAAATTATAATAAGAAAACATTATCATTCCATTTCAAAGATGCCCTATACAAAATCTTCATGCTAATAATGGTGGACCCAATAGATCAAATACTAATTGGGCAAGAAATAGATGATTAACTATAAAAATAATTCCAGCATTACAAGCAGAACTATCTTCTCACCAAAAGTATTTTTGGTGTATTCCACTTAGTAATATTAGGAGGAAAGGGAAGTGATTGTGTCCAATTTACCAGTACTCAAGAAAAACCTCTCTTATTTCTAGTATTAAAAAATTCTCTCTTCCTTGAAAATGGAGAAAAAAAGGAAAGTCAAATAGTCAATTGCATGCATAGTCTGGCAAAAAATAGGTTCAAACATTGAAGGTGGCCGATCAACCAACTTGGTAATAACTTTAGGATCCTTTGCCATATTGGTACAAAAGTTGTCCATTGTGACAAATGAATATAAAACCTAGCTTCTTGTGACAAATAAATATAAAACCTAGCTTTGTGTGACAAATAACTATAAAACCTTGCATTGTGTGATAAATGAGTATAAATTTAACTTCGTACGACATTTAATCCTTATTTCTCCATTTTAGGTTGCTTGGTATATTTATTGCCATTTTACACTATTTTCCTTTATTCCCATAATCAACAATGGAAATATAATGTCATACCCCTCCTTCTGCAGCTTAACTTTGACTTACGGATTTAAAAAAATGTTTATATTTTAAGGGTAATTCTGGCAATTATAGTTAATACATCAATAATCCGGCAGGGAAGTTAAATGAAGATCATGTTGTTTTGTTAGAGAGAGGAATCACAATTCACGAAAGAGGAAGAAGAGAAATAAAACAAAGGATTAGAAGAACTCCGTAATTAATTGTAGGAGAATTTTTCTAAAATTTACAAGCTTAACTACCATTGTAAGGGGTACTAAACCTCACCCGCATTTTACCGGGTAACGCCCACATGTTGACTTGAATGGACGAAGCTACCCTTCACATATACTCCCATCCATTTCACCTCTCTAACTTTCTCTCTTCTCGTAATCTATTCACCACCGATCACCAAAGGGCGAGGGAAAAGGCAAATCACTGCATGATGTTGAGAAACAACAAGGGTAAGGGCGTCACTGCCAAAAAGGTAAATCGATTTATTTTTTTTTTTTAAAAAAAAATTTTGGTTGACGACTAGTACACTCCACTTATGGGATTAAGGCTTTGATTGATTGCTAGTACATGCTCTTCCTCTCCACCCGATGGTCGTCTCATGGTCCACGCGGATCTTGACTACTGCTCACCTGACCACGTGACCACGTGACCCTGAAGCCCAATCATCCTGTGACTCCAACTCACAATCACCTGATCCAACTCCCCCGCCTACAACCCTAACCCATTACTCATCTCCTCGACCTGGTACATCCTTAAGACGTGAAGCGCCTCTCTCCCTCCTTCGCAGCGCGTTAATGCCTTGCAATACAGTGTGGCGTGTATACTCAATATTTACTCGTTTTATCTTTTCTGGTTGTTATTTATATACATAAACACTTTAGTTTAATGCATAGAGTTTTTTGTTTTACAAACATCTGATCCATTAACTATGTATAAATTAGTTACAAACATACATCTAAACATATTACTGCAAAAATTAATAAAAATAATATAAAAAACATTTTTTTCTTTTCTTTATAGATGACACGTTTCTTTTATCATGGTTGCCAACGCACAAGTTTCATGATTAAAATCACTTATTATCAAGTAAAAATTATAAAAAGTTACTCCATTCCTAAAAGATGGTTATGTTTGCCAACGCATAAGGTAGGTTTGCGTTCAAGTCAAATTGTGGGCGTTACTCAGTAAAGTAAAATGCAGGGGAGGATTAGTACCTAAATGTTGCTTGAACCTAACTTCAGTACGCATTGTCACACAGCTAAGTTTTATACTACCTTGACACAATTGAAAACTTGTATACCGGTGTAGCAAAGGGGCTTTGCGGTTTATATCAATTTGGTTAATTGGCCCATTGAAGGTAGTAATTTTTTAACCCAAAAGTAGCCAATGAAAACTTTTATATAAATGTGGCAAGGGGTTGCTATCTTTTATACCAATCTGTCTAACTAGGCTCCATGTGCCCCTTAAATCTATCAGACCCCTTGCAAGAAAAGAGCGGGTGCACCAAAACAGAAACTAAGTTGACGCTCAACACTTACAACCTCAAAGCTTACACCAAATAATCTAACAAGCTCACAATTTCAAAATAAGTGACACTTTCTTTACAATCTACATCTAGCAGCACACATAAAAGGAAAAAAGGTTCTACCTACTCTCCAAATTTAATTCCCCACCACGACTCTATGATCTTGAGAATCCAACAAAGATCAAGATCCTTTCTGGACAAAGTTATGAGCCTCCCACTCCTTGATCATAGGATTCCTAATTTTCCAGGAGATGGAATCACTGTCTATTCATAAATGTGCATGCGCACAAGTGTGTGTGCATGCGCACAAGTGTGTGTGCATGCGCACGTGTGTGCGGGGAATGAAGCCAGGGAGGATTAATAGGGTACACCACACAATAGAAAACAAGAAAATCAAAAATAATATATTCCAGAAAATGAAACGGCTAACTTTCAATGTGCCTCCTCCCAAATGAAGATGTGACTTATAAGGATTAAACCTAGCGTATCATGATGTATGGAGCCAACATGACATTGAAGCAGACCACCTTTCCATTAGCATTGACTATTGCATTGATCTCAATTGAGAATGCTGCAACCCCCCCCCCCCCTCCCTCTCTCTTTTCCCGGTCAAATAATTTTAACAAGTCCTTTCATATGACTATTGGTATCAAAGTAACACAGCTGTCATATCTCACGAGATTTGCCAAACCAGCGCTGTTAAAAATAATAATCTTTCTTACCTGGAGTGTGTAGAGACCAGAGTCCAACTTTCTATTGTACTTCTCCTCCTCGTTCATCTGCAAGATTTCATGTGGTTGCAATGTCAATATTTGATAACCAGTTATGTCTACAGAAATAAGTCAGTACACTGACCTCAAAATCATCAAGTTCCATATGGTCCAAGCGTTCAGCCTCAGCCTTTACTCTATCAGTATACCTATTGAAATCAATTTTTTTTTTACATGAATACATAAAACCACTTCTAGTCAAGTTGACAGCACCACATATAGGCATATAGCAATCAATTGCTAAGCAAGAAAATTACCTCACATAAAGTTCCATTAGCCTGTCTATCTTCTCACACTCACTTTCCACAAATTTGCTTAACAATCGTTCTCTTCTAGATCCTCTCAAGATCCCAGCTAGAAAAGTCACAAGAAAAGAATCATTATGTTGTCCATGTAAGAGGGGAGAAAGGTACTTGTGTATTACAAATTACTTTATTAAATTAATTTCAGCAATATTCCTTGGCCCGATGCATTATTTAGGCCTTTGTATTCACCATAAAAAGTAGTTCCGGGAAAGATAGGTGCAAATATGTTCAATTAATGGCCAATGAGTTCAGATAAGGACAACCAGATAATTTTAATAATTAGTAGAGTAAGTTCAGATCATAGAAAACTGAAAAGGACAAAGCCTTAATCGTTTTGGAAAACAAATTTCTTGATAGAAAGCTACAGTACTCCCTCCGTATTTTATTACTTGTTCTACTTTCCTTTTGCCACCGTATTTTATTACTAGCACCACTTTCTTTTTTGGAAACTTTTAGCAATATTTTACTATTTTCCTCCCCACTAGTAATCCCCTCATCATATTTTAATATTTTTCATATTCTCTCTCCTCCCCACCTATACTTTGTTTTTTCAGATTTTTTTGTTCTTCAACCAACCCCACTTCCATCTTAAAACAATACTTTCTACTGTTCCTCCCAAAACTCCGTATCCACAGAAATGGAGCAAGTAATAAATACAGAGGGAGTATTATCAAAATCTATAATTTATAGTTAAAGTTTTTCTTCTCACCACTTTCTTCTTCAAACTGGGAATGGGAATGTGAATGGGAATGGGGATGGGCCCACCCTTGGCATAATTTAAATAAATTATGTAGCAGTTGCAAAATGCAATGGAAGTTTATGACAACCAAGGGGAATGCTTATTTTAAACGTACAATTGTAGGATAGATAGGAATTATCAGCACTTTCCAACTTTCATTGTTACCTATGCACAATAAACATCTGTGCATTTCAGATTCCCATAAGCCCAATCTTCAATAACTACAGGGTGCAATGTTCAAAGAACGATACAAGCGATCTCCACCTCCCATGCCCCCAACACACAAGCACAAATGAAAGATTTACAAGTTGCGACCAGCAAATTATTATTTTCAGCCGTCACTCAAATTCACTCCAAAGCAGATTTCTCAACTCCATAGTGATAACGGGGCCATCAAAAACTGTGATACACTTACAAGGATAACCTGTATAAAGATGGATAAATTCTTAATGGAATGGTGACTTTTAGTAGTATGCTGTGAAGCCTTAAAATACCAAGGATTTACTACCGGACCAAGGCTAAGAAGATTAAAATTCGAAAAGACAAGTGCTTGTTCAGGTTTCTTCTTCTCCTCTTCTTGAAAAAGCAAAACCCATTTTTGACTCACGATGACACAAATCACCTTCCACAAGCAAACTGTGCTTTTCCTCCACAATTTTGGACTTCTGATATGGTTCGAGTTCATGGGGATGGTACACAAACAGTGGCCAGGGAAAGGCCAGATCTCTTCTGATCCAATCTCCTATAACATATTATGTTTTTCTTCTCGCAACAAGCCAGCAACTGATATGTGCAAGAAAGGGTAAAGACAAGTAGAACATTTAAGAAGAGAAAATAGAGGTATGGAGAAGTAGAATACAAATTAGCACCCACTACTAAGGGATTAAATGAGACTAATTGAGAAGAGAGGTCAAAATTGTATAACAGATTAATGCAGCAACAAGTCCTGAATAGGTTTGGAGGAAAGCCAGCAACGTATATTCAATTACCTAAATAAAGTATACCTCCACCATTGTCAGATAGTTCCAATTTTATTTTATAATTTTTGAGAGGGGGAGTGGGTTGGTGCCCATGAGGTAAAGAGAGAAACAAGCCAAAAATAAAAAATAAAAATAATAAAAAATAAAAATAATAAAAAATAAAAAAATCAACTAATTCAAAACATCCTAAAGCAGGAAAGTGTAGCAACTTTTAGATAACAGAAAAGGTACTAGGCATAATTCCACATTGATATATCCCATATATTTTAAAGTAAAGTCTAGTTCTCTGGAAACCATAATTCATGCGTCTCAGCAAATATCTCTAAATTGGTGCAGAACTGCAGATGACCACTCCTTAGATATACCCAATAGGCCAACACCCACAACTTAGTAAGGCATCTTCACAGCTTCCTTAAAATACTTATCCACTACTACAAAATGTGAGGGACAAGAGCTTTCTCAATTAAATCAAAGATGATTTTTATGTAAAATTCAGGAATCCACATCATTAAAAATATTTGCAGGATTCACTACACCAAAATATCACCATTTGGATTGCAGTACCAAACTGGATCGATATCACAAAGAATTACAGAAAACTTTGTGAATGTAAAAATGTATCCCATATTATCAGATAATAAGAAGCTAAAGCTCTCTAGGCTCTACCCTCCTTTGATTAGTTCAATATTAGGAATCCACATAAACAGCTGGTAACTACAAACTTCCCATCTCCCCCATAGCAGCTAAACTCCAGCACCAGCTAGAAAATCCTACAGAAGACAATATTCATGATTGCTTGCAAAGTTAGCACATCAGGAATTTTATTATTTAACAGTTTGTTTGGATAGATGAAAAGGGAGGGAAAAGAAGAGAAGGGAAAGGGAAGGGGGCAATTCCCACTGTTTGGATACCAATTTGTGGAGGTGAGGGAAATGGAGGGGAGGGGAATGGAAGGAAATTTTTTGTTTCAGTGTTTAAGAATCAAATCTCTCCAAAATTGGAGATATTTGAAAGGAAAATGAATCAAAAAACCTGAATAACATGAAAAGACCAATTTACCCTTACTTTAGCCCACTGATTTTCTCTCCTCTCTACCCTCTTATCGTGATTTTTTCCCACTCCTCTGTTTCTCTCTCTTCAATGGAAACCCCCAACTTTCCCCCAATTTGGAACTAAGGTTTATAGAATGTAATTTCTACTTCAAATTTGTTAGATTTTCTAATTCAAAATGTATTTGTTGGGATTTCTAGTTTGATTTTGATGGAATTTCGCTTTTTGATCTATCATTTTCCCCTTCTTTTCTTCTTGTTGTTCAAATTGATGTTTCAATCGGTATTTTTGCTGTTAAATTTGAGCTGTTGATCAATTTTTGCTGGGTTTTGCATATTATCAAATATTTGCTCATACTTCGAACTGCAAATCTGTAAACGAACCTGCAATTTACAACACAGATATGCCTCATGTTACCTTCCCTTTCTTTCCTCTTCTCCCTCATCCAAACAAGGGGAACTGATATTTTTTCTCCCTTCCTTCCCCTCCCTTCCCCTTCCCTTCTTTCCTCCACCCTCCCCTTCCTAAATTATTATCCAACACTCTGTAAGAAAAAAAATATACATAACAAAGGCAGGCAATAGATTGACCAGCTACTAGCCAATTAGCAGAGGAAGGGCAGGAGCTGATTGCTTACTCTACCATTACTAGAGTTGCATTGAAGAGAAAGACTAGTGATTGAAGATGCCCGTAAATTCGGGTCAGTGCTGATAATGACCTGAGAATCCCATAAAACATTGAATCACAGACTCAAACTAGTCAAACAGAGTTAGTTTCACCTCAACACAGTGCAACAAAGATACACCTCAATCCTAAAGTATAAGCCATGGTGGCACAATGCAACCACACACTTTTCTGTTGCATGTGAGCACACAAACACATACAAAGAGAGGGAAGAGAGGGTCTTTGGAAAGAGTGTTAAAAATCCATTACCACAAAAGATATCATCTTTCACAAAGTCAGAGATATAATTTTAAACGACAAGACAGAAATAGCTGATCTACAGTGTTCAGTAATTGAATCCAACATGAAAAGGTCATGCCAGAACTTAATCAGTTCCTTGAAAAAAATTTAACTCACCATTTACAAAAGAAATTTATTAAGGCATTAAGCGGAGAGTTTAACATGTAACTAATGTAAGCAATCAACTTGCCATCTTACCAAATAATGATGAAATCAGCGATATTACTCGCTCCTCTAACTCCTCCCGAAATCGCTCTTTCTTATGCTTCTTGCTGATTGGTATCTAGAGAATTAAAGAAAAAACACGATAAGATCATGACAATGCTTCTTGTAAATTGGTATCTGGAGAATTAGAAGAAAAAACACAATAAGATCATGACACACATCACCCAAGGGAAGCAGAATTCAACTTCACCACTTAAGCAACTAATAATATTCGATTCTTCAGTTTATTTGTAATCTTTGTTTTCTTTTTTTGAAGACAAATTGTCCACTTATTGTTGAGCTACAGTTTTAGATATTGATTTAGGTAGTCTACGACTTTCTCTATAAAAAAAAAACAGCAAACTACATAGCAATTATAGCATAAAGCAATACACTCCGTAGTCCTTACAGTGAGGAAATAGAAAATTAATCTCAAATAGCTACCATGTAACTGCTATGAATAGATAATAGGGGATGGGAAATTTAGGTAGCTGCTTTAAAATTAAGTGGCTTTAATAATAAGCTAGCTAGTTAGAATGAGACCTCTTATAATCGGAGCTTATTTGAGAGTGTGTCACGTTGAATATTTAGGAGTGTTTTGTTTAGCAATTTAGGTTGCTAGTTGGGGAAGGAATCAAGACACTTGAATGATTGATTTTTTTTTTTTTTTAATCAGCCAAACCCCATCTTATTTGTTCATTTACCCTAAGGGAGCATGTCCAAATGGCAAATGAGACTTTTTCTTGGACGAAGAGAGTAATGATAGATTTGGGTATGTATACTTTTGCAACCTCTCCTTTTTCTCCACATATCAACTTTGATGAAATACAAAGTCAAAGCCATGGGAACCACCAAAGACCTAGGATCAAATCCCGTAAACATCAATGCCCTATTGCCCTATATGGCTCCCCATACACCAAAAACTATCTATTTGAGTCCATTTATTATATCTATTCTAATAAGCGGCTTCAAGTAAAATCCGCAACATTTAATTGCTCTTTATTATACAAAAAGACAATTAAAAAATAATTACTTCCTTTGTTTTCTTACAATCACATTTCCCCTTGGCATGCATTTTAAAGAAGAGATTAGAGAAGATGAATAGATCACATATTAAGATGTATAAATTTCAATCAATATTCCTCCTTCCCACTCCCTTTCACTCCCCCCCCCCTCCCTTTCCCCCCTACATTGACACTCCTTTCTTCTTTTTGGACATTCTACCCAGTTATCTATCTCCTTTCTTCCTTTCTTTGAATTTGTCTTCTTCTTTGTTCTATTACCCTCTTCTTCTCCATTTCTATTAAGGTCCTCCATCCCGTATCTCCCTCTCTCTATCTGGCACTCTCTAAATATAAGCAACCACCTCTATTAAGTATTAACTCAATTTATGTTTCAATAACAAAGGACCCAAAGACATCTAATTAAAGACACTGAACAAACCCTCAATCCCAACCAAACATCGGCATCAACATAACCTTCAATACTCTAATGAAGACCATGCCTTGAGTGGGGTAATGGGTCAAATGTCCTCAACCTTCCATCGAAAAAAAAACACACTTTTAGAAGACAAAAGTATTTCATAAAAGATGCAAATAAGTTCTCAATCTACAACTGGGAGTCGGGACTTGATAGCTCACTCCTCATCTCTATGCTTTAGTTTAAAGATATTCATAATATAAATAGTACTAGAGATTATGGCATTATGGTTCTCTAGAAGTATCATTCAAAGGGATGCCAAGCATCACCATCCATGCAAAGACAAAAAGACACAAAAAGGTTCATGTTCAAGTTCAAGACTTGCATCTGGAAATCGCTCCTCAACACCAAACATAAGTATTAAGGATATTCAAAATAACAATATCTGCAGATACTAGAAATTTACAAATCTTTGGTCTTTCATAGCAGACCATATTGCACCTCACAGCACTACCAAAAAAAAATAAAAAACTCCAACACTAGTCAAACTAAAAACATATAGAAGTTGCTCAATAACAACCATCATCGCAGGCTATGTAAAGCAATTGCTTGAAAAACAACAGAGTGCGATCATGACACTTTACCAATAATTTTGAACACATACATATACATATCATCTGAACAATCATGCATGCTACAAAAACTATGGTAGTTTTTTTTGTGAAAGAAAGCAAATTTAACAATATAACAACAGCATAAGGGAGAATGAAACTTGCCTTACCCATAAAAGCAGCAAAAGCAGTTTTTAACCCCAAAACGTCCACAAACCGTTCGCAAGCCGGAGGATATTTGGTCATTGCAAAATCAAGAGCCCTTATAGCAGACCCATATGCCAACTTCTTTTGCTTCATAATAATAATCATCAATTCCACCCCTTCAGCCTTTACAAACCTCTCCTTATTCTCCAATGGCATCAACAAACAACACAAACAATCAAACAAATTCTCAAGCATCTCCTCTTCCTCGGAACTCTTCGGGTCCTTAGACTTATACATAGCTACCGCCTGCAACATCACATCCACACCATTCATCTGCCCCAACCTCTTCTGATTCGCCGTACTATTCTGCAGCAAAATCGCCAATATCTCCGACGCATACTCCTTATTCCCATCAAATTCCTTCACCTTAATCTTCCCTAACAACCACCTTAGCAACTTAGTCTTCTCACAAACAATTTCCGACACCTGGGGCTTAACTTCAATCAGATTTTCGAGCGTATCCAATGTCGTATAAATTGCAGCCGCCTCGTCGGGATCACTCTCATTCATCCGCAACAAATTCTGCACAAGCAATTCTAAAACATTGTTCTCAACCAAATTATCAACTAAAACCCTAGCTTGTTCATCATTATCCTCCAAAACATCCTCCTCAGTTAAATCCTGAAGAAGCGAAACTACATCAACTGCAATATCAGTATTATCATGGTTCAATAATCCCAGAATTGATGGAATTGTATTGAGATTAACTAACTCAGGGTAAAGCTCAGGTGCGGCAGCAAGAACTTTGAGCTTTTGAAGTTCCTCGTGAAGTTCGATCTCGGAATCGGCGAACTTCTCAGGTTGGTCGGCGTATTTGAGACGAGCTTCGATGTTGTCGCGAAGACGACGCTCGAAGGAGAGGACGAGTTTTTTTAGGGTTTTGAGGTCGAGAGTTTCGACGGTTGAATGGGATTTTTCAATGGCGTCGAGGAGAGAGAGATCGATGCCATTGTCGACGGCGGTGGTGGGGTGGTTGTCGTCGGCGGTGGAGTCTTCTCGCCGGCGTTTGAGGGAAGAAGATTTGGTTTTCCGAGGATTTGTTGGCTCCATTTTTGCAGGGTTTTTGAGTCTTTTGAGTGGCACTGTTTTAGTATGTAAAAATCAAATCTTGGTTTATGCTACCCCCGTTCATCATTTTTAGCGTTTCTTTTTATTCTTATTAACAATAAAAGGGGTTTGTGCGGAATTTTAGGCAAAACTTCTTAAAAATGATTATTGAAAGTTATGGACATGTATTTAACTATAACTCAAATTTTTTTTTTTAAAAAGCAATTACAATTAAATCAGAACCGCCCAAAACCATCACCAAACGCCACCCAAAACCACCACCCATGCCACCCAGCCCCACGAACCACCACCCACGCCACCCGCAAATCACAGAAACCAACCACAAACCATCGAAATCCGCCTAAGAACCACGAAAAAACCCAAAAACCAAACCCACCCACGATATAGCCACCCGCAAACCACCAACACCCACGAAATAGCCACCCACGAAGCACAAACACCTACGAAATAACCACCCACGAAATATCCACCAACACCCACGAACCACCAACACCCACACACGAACCACCAACACCCACGAAATAACCACCCACCAGATCAATCGAACCCACCCACAAACCACCAACAACCACCCACGAACCAAATGAGAGATGAGAAAGATAATCTAAAGTAGAAATGAGGGATGAGGAATGAAGAAGGAGATGAGAGATGAAGAAGGAAGAAGATGATGAAGTCAGAGATGAAGATGGAGGAGAGAGATGGTGAGGAGATGGATGAATCAGATTTTTTTGGGGGAAAAGTTTAGATAATTAAGTTAGATTAGAGTTATAATTATTTGTAATTATGTGTAGTATTATGTATTAATAATTTTTAAATGAGGGTATTTTGGTCATTTTACCATAAAAAAGTTACTATATTAGAAAAGACATAGTTTTGTTGCAAATAATAGTTAGCATCCTTTTTTGGTAAATGTTGCAAATAACTGTTAACGGAGGTAGTATTTAGGATTATACTCCCTCCGTTCCCATTTGTTTTTTACATTTGGAATGTTGTGCGGTTATTAAGAAATTGGGTGGCAATGTATACTGTTCCGGGTATAGTTCCGGAGCCTGGTTGGTGGTCAGATCTGGACGTTGGTTGGGATCGCCGTGGTGAGGAGCTTTGATTACTCCCGCTGAAGTTACTCAAAGCGACGAGCTGAGGCCAAGCGAGGAGCTTTGGTTACTCCCGCTGAAGTTACTCAAAGCGACGGGCTGAGGCCAAGCGAGGATCTTTGGTTACTCCCGTTGAAGTTACTCAAAGCGACGGGCTGAGGCCAAGCGAGGAGCTTTGGTTACTCCCGCTGAAGTTACTCAAAGCGACGGGATGAGGCCGAGCGAGGAGCTTTGATTACTCCCGCTGAAGTTACTCAAAGCGACGAGCTGAGGCTAAGCGAGGAGCTTTAATTAATCCCGCTGAAGTTACTCAAAGCGATGAGCTGAGGCTAAGCGAGGAGCTTTGATTACTCCCGCTGAAGTTACTCAAAGCGACGAGCTGAGGCTGAGCGAGGAGTTTTCGTTACTCAAAGCAACGAGTTGAGGTTGAGTGAGGAGCTTTGATTACTTTTGGCTGGAATTTTTTTTTTCCTTTTTTTTTTTTTTTGTTTTACGTCGTGGCTATGTTTAGTGGGTGGTTATTTCCCTTTGTTGGGTAGGTAACTACCATTTATTGCCGGTATTCAAATCCCCCTCTTTTCTTTTCGTATTCTGCGTCTTCATTGTTCTGAATTTTGTTTTAATTTCAAAATTCCTTCTTTTCTCTTCTTTCCCATTCACTCATTTGTCATTTGCAATTGCTTTCTTTTCTCTTCATCTTCTCACTCCCCGCTCTCTCCACTATACTTGTTCTAAGTTTTGCGACTTGTTTGGGTGTCGCTCGCTGCACGTTCGCCGCGAATTACTCCTTGCTCACTCCGTATTTGTTGCTCGTTATTCAAAAGGTACCATCTTTTAACCCTCCTTTACCATTTTTGCACTTTAATTTGTAGAATTAAGTATGCTTTTTTTTCCAGAAATTGCCCTTTTTTGTTTCGTTGTGCCGTTAAATAATCGTTGTACACTTCTTTCCTTGCTCAAAGACCAATTCTTGCCTTGTCGTTGTTGTAATTTTTGTCGCCATTGCGTTTTTACTGTTCATTCTTTGGTTGATTTTCCCTTCTCACTATCTCTCTCTCTCTTTTTTTTTATTTTTTTATTTTTATTTTTTTTATTTCGCTTCCTTATTAGAGATTTGTGTTCTCTTTCATTTTTCCAAGTCTCAATCTTTCAGCCATGTCGGACGCTTTTGATGGTCAAAACGCTTCCTCACGCTCTTACGGCGGTGGTGGTGAGTTTGAGTCCATTTCTTCTTCCGAGTCGACTCGTTCAGATGAGCCTCCTAGGCCATCTGTCCCTTTTTCTTCTCCCGCTTCATGTACCCCCCTTTAAGTTGTGTTTCCTCCTAGTGGTGATGTCTCTACGGGGAGTGCGTCTGTCGTTGGTGCTCCTGTTCGTGATGAGGAGCCTAGTGATAGTCGTTCTAACCCTAGCGCTTTTCATCCCTATCTTCGTGGTAGGGTTCGTAGCGACACTTTCGACCCATATTGTGAAAGGGTCTTAATGACTAGGGGGTTGCGTTGCCTCATTTACTTTGTCTGCGGATTCGTGCTGCCCATTATGCGCGATTGGCAGCTGAGGTCAGGGCCTACCCTCCTCTCGATGCTCCCAAGAGTCCTTTTCCTGATGTACTTCCCTTGCATAAATTTGCTTGGTTGGATGATATATCTGACGTGCACCGTTTTGATCATTATGTAGTGCGCAGCTCAACTTCGCTGATAGTTCGATGGTTGCCCCTCAATCTCAGTCTCCGAGAGACGCTGCTCTAAATGCCTGCTAGCCTTGGTATGTAAACGAGGTAGTCCCTCCAGGTGATGACGCCTTCTATCTGGATGACAAAGCTGAAGGTCCTCGTCTCTTCACCTTGAGCTCTGACTGCGGTTGTTAGCTGACCGTCTAAAGTTAGCAGAATGTGGTAACTCGTTCTATGGGATGGGACCTGGTTATGAGCTGGTGCTGCCCAAGGCTGGGTCCAGCCTATCTAACCCTCCTGCTGGTTTTATTGTTGTCTCTGCCTCCCAATTGGACGTGGGTTTGAGGTTTCCTCTAAATCCGACTTTAGACATGTTCCTGCGTGCCATCAATATTCCTCTTTTACTGATTCTGCCAGCATCCCTACATACTTTGATCTGCTTGCTCTAGACGATGCGCTTCAAACGCTTTCCAGAGTCCTTGTCCCTGTTCCACTCTCTGTTTAGTTCAAGCGGAGTGTTTCTAGTGCTGATTCTGGTTGGTTCAACCTTGCGCCCAAACCTAATTAGGTCTTCTCTTACCCCAAGTTGGGTTGTTTCAGGGATTGGAAAGGAAAATTCTTCTAGTTGCACGTCTCCGCTGATTTTGGGTGCCCTCGTTCCTTTTGCCGCGTGAGGTCAAATATGGGGGGTATCACCTTGTAGACAGTTGATGTTGCCAAAGAAGCTCAGGCTTATGGCCATTTTGAGGGCGAGGCGTACGCTCCCAAGACATGGCTTCCCAATGGGTTGTATATTATAAGGAACGCTTAGCTTTCTGCCATGCGTTTGTGTTCGACCCATGTGTCTGATAAGGTTCTTTCTGCCTTTGTGTCGTGTTTGCTATTTTTGCTTTTTATTTGTTTTTGTTTTTTTTTTTTTGTTTTTTTTTGTTTTTTTTGTTTTTTTTGTTTTTTTTTTGTTTTTTGTTTTTTTTTTGTTTTTTTATTTATTTTTGTGGCACTATGACTAACTTATTTCCTTCTTTTCAGGCTATGATAAGTTGGACAAGGCACTGCTAGGTGTGGATGATACCTGGAAGCCTGTTATCAAAACCTCGGGATATCATTCCTACCCTCTTGAAGTGATGGAGGTTTACGCTGCTGCTCGCTTGGGTGAGACACGTCCATTCCCTGCCGAGTTCAAGCATGGTTCAGCTACCGCTTGCACTTTTGCTTGTTCTATTCCCACCATTCCATTCGAGCAGAGGATGAACCTGAAGCCTCTACTGCTGGTAGTGATCAAGTTAGGGGAAATGCTGACTCCCCTCAAAAATGTGGGTCGTTGATGGCGCCAAATTCTTTGGCTGCGGTCTCCGTTCGGTGGAAAGCTCATAATGTTGAAGTAAGTAAGGATGAGGTTTATAACCGAGAGGTCCCTGATGCTGCGAATACTTCAGACCGCACAAGTCACAGCAACAACGACTTTGCAGATTCTTTTCTAAACTCTGCGTCTTTTGACACTCCGACTGTTGTTGGTGTTGGTGGAGTATTTGAGTCTATGCAAGTTGATGTATCCTCTGGGTAGAACCGCAGGATTCTATTTCTATTAGGCATGTTCTGCCTTCCATTAAGGAGACTTCGCTTCCTGTTTCGGAGAGTCAACCTCTCTCTTCTTCCACTTCTGCCAAGCATGTTGTGCTCGAAACTCCTAATTCTACAGGTCTCACTGTTGAACTCCCGGCGTCTACTTCTGTTTTTATTGGTGCTGCAGTAACTCACAACCCCCTTCCTCAGCTAAGGTCTTATCGTGACCATCTGCGCAGCCGCCGTCATGGTGGGCACACGCCTAGCACCTATGGCAGAGAAGGTTACACTGTTGTTATTGATTTGGAGACTATCTCTCCTCCACGTGAGCCTTCTTAAAAAAGGGCTCGGATTCTTATTATGAAGGAGTTACTTGCTTTAGCCTTTGGTCATTCTGAGTCGGCTACGACGCTGAATTCTCAGGGTGGGCTGCTCCTACTTCCAGCGACCTTAATCCTTTTGTGAATCAATACTTCGAGGAAGCTTACGCTCATCCTTTTTCTGTCTCCTCCAAGTCTGCGGGTGGAGTTTTCAAGGGAGCTGGTCCTCTCGAGTTTCTGAAGTACATATTGACTCCTCTTTGAGGCCTGCACTGTGTCCTTCTAGGGTTGCTGATGAGCCCTTATGCCTTTCCCTAAACGTCAAGGCTGACGAGTCTATTTTCCTTAACGATCCTCTTCAGGGAGGTACTCTTGGATATAGGTTGACTCAGGACGTTAGGCTTCCTGCTGACCTTGGGAATGAGTATGTCAGCGTTCCTGTTGCCGTTGCCTACCACGACTTGCAAAAGGTACTATTTCACTTGTTACCTGCTTTTTTGCTTTATGATTTTTTGATTGCTTCTTCAT